ATATATATATATATCTGTCATATTATTCTACTTACTTACAGCAACCTACAAGGTGGAATGTAGAAAAATTGGCTAAAGGTCTCAAACCTAGTCTCAAGGAACGCATTGCCCCTATGTAATTGAGGGATTTCAATACGGCGGTACAAGTCTGCAAAGTGATAGGAAGTGGCCAGGACCATCAAGTTATGATGGAAGACACCCTTGGGAATAGGAATTTCGAACTATGAAGTATTTCTAAAAAGAAGAGAGTTCGAATGAACAAGCGGACTAGAAGAAGTTGTAAACGAACAAGATTCAATTTAAAATAAGGGTAAAAGGATGTAACCTATGTGGGAAATAGTATGGGAGCAAGCCTTGTCTGGCAGGATCAAATATCTGCTATAAATGTAGTGAAACTAGGCACTATATGAGGCACTATCATAAAAAAAACAGATGCCTTGATACTTCATGACAGCGGAAGGACTTTTGCCCTTCCACCAAATAAGATTCCAAAGCTGCCTCATATAACTCGAGGTACAAATCAAGTAATGGTTATTCCTTTGCTATAGTATTTAAATTAAACATGAGTCATTTATTCATATTACCCAGTATTGGGCAATAAAAACTGAGTATTGATGCATCTTTGTATGAATTAAGTGCTCCTAGTATGGTATCCTTATTACTGTGTGCTTGAGCTATGCTTTATTGACAAACCTATCTTTTATATGCATTTTCATATATTTTTGGTGGGTTTTTGTCATTATTATTGGCCTTAATTGCATTATTTGAATATAATTCATATTAGAGTGCTTTAATTTGAATTAGTGCATAATAGGGGCAAATTTGTCATAATTGTGGTTAATTAATCTTTAAGGACAATTAATGCTACCTATCTTTCAATTTTAATTGCAGGTTTCTTTTTGAAGGATTAAAAAGGAAAAAAAAAAGAAGAAGAAAGAAATATAAAATTAAAAAATTAAAAAAATTAGAAATAATAATAATAATAAAAGAGGGCTAGGTAGTAAAATGCACCGTTTTACTATACCTGCCCTAATTATATTCATCATCTTCTCTGTGTCTTTTCACTGGTGGCAAAGAGAAGACGGCGTGAAGGGACCAGGGGAGCTCGATAGCAGGAGAAAACGCGAGCAGAAGAGAAGGAGAGAAGCAGAGGCCGACGGCGTAAGAGGACCTGTGTGACGCCGGCGATCACCTCCAGATTCCATTTCTTCACTTCCACTAATTCTAATCATCATTTTCCTTACCCACAAAATCACCTATCCATCATCATTGACTTCGTCTCCTTCCCTTCTCGGTGCAACAGAACCAAAGAGAACAGAGCAAACTCTTCAAGCTTCCTCATTTCCTTCTTAGTGTTCTTCCATGGCAACCTATAGCAGAATATTGATCATAGCATTTCTCATGGCTAACCGTGGCTAGCACTTTGTTATTCTCCAATTTGACAGCAATGGCAGGAGCTCGGATCATCAAAGGGGAGTTTTAATTACTTTAATTTCCTATCCAATAGTTGTTTAACAATTCCTAGGTCTTAGGATAGTTATTCCGATTATTGAAAAATTTGTATTGTTTAATCTAATTATATTTGGAGATTATTGTAGTTAGATTACTGTTTAGCATTTGACATTGGGCTATTTATAGCTTTAATTTCAATCATAATGTTGTGGTTATGACATTTACATTGACTTTGGAGTTAATATACTGTGATTTTCTGAGGTAGCCTGGAATCTTGGATCGTAATGTCTCTAGCTAGCTTTAATTCTATTGTTTTAGATTTAAGAGTTTTAATTAAGCATTAGTTTTTAGCATCCTTAATTCCATTTTACTATTGTAGTTGCAGTTAGTAATTTAGGATTTTGGAAAATATTTTGTGACAATTCAAGGTGGCTCGGTTGTTGGAATAAAAGCTTAAGTATAAATCTTGATTCATTATTTTAACTCCTGTATCTATTGAAGTAAAGATTGCTTGTGTTGTTGAATTGGAGGATTGATTATTATTATTGTTACTCATGTGTTTCATTTTCATTTCTTTCATCATCATTCATTTTAATCATTTTTATATAAAAATATCAAAAACAAGTATTTTAATTTCAATTTAATTCATGGCACTTAATTAGCAATTATCAAATCAAAATCCTTTTTGTAGTTTAGGTTGCTTGCATTTATTTAGTAGGATTTAATTTCATTTTTGGCTCCTCAAAGTGAATACAACCCGGATCATGCACTGCATTGCATTAAGTCGATCAATTTTGGAGTAATCCCAAGGCGACAAATTAAGGGCATTATTTCAAGTGTGGGGGAGTTTTGCCCAGGAGTGCAAAAGGTTAAGTGTGGGGGAGTTGACAAACCTATGTTTTACATGCATTTTTTAAAATCTTTTTAGTGGGTTTTTGTCATTATTATTGGTCCTTAATTGCATTATTTGAGTTAATTAGTGCTTTAACTTGAATTAGTGCATAATAAGGGAAAATTAGTCATAATTATGATTTATTGATCTTTAAGAACAATTAATTCTACCTATCTTTCAATTTTAATTGCAGGATTCTTTATGAAGAATTAAAAAGAAAAGAAGAAAAGAAAAGGAAAAAAAAGAAGAAAGAAAAAATAAAAAAAAATTAAAAAAAAGGGCCAGGTAGTAAAACGCACCGTTTTACTGCCTGTCCTAAATCATTCAAAATGATCAGCTTCATTCGTGAGCCAGGGGTGCTCGATGGAAGGGAGTGACGGCAGGGGGGACTGGGGAGAGCGAACAGAGTAGGACTGGAGGCGACTGAGTGAGAGACCAGATCATCACCATTGCCTTCATCTTCTTCTTCTTCTTGGCATAATAATAGAACCAATGAGGACCAGAGAATCAGTGACGGCGAGAGAACTAGAACCAATCACCGTTTCCTTCACTCCCACCACTCAACCATCATTTCCCATCCCCATTGAAATCCATCATCACCGTCGGCTTCATTATCACCTTCTCGGCGTTCCTCCATGGTAGACCGTAACAGAACGTTGATTGTGGCATTCCTTATGGCAAACCGTGGCTGAATTTCATGATCCTCTGGAGCAGTAGTGATGGCTTGAACTTGGAGCTTTAAAGGAGAGTTTTAGCTTTTTCAATTTTCATTCCTCTCATTGTATTAATGATTCCTAGGTCTTAGGATGAACTTTATAATGTTTGGATGTGCTGTGATGATTTATATTTGTATTGAGATTGGTTGTAGTTGTTGGAATTTTTAATTAGCATTTAACATTATTTTGTGATTAGTTTTAATTTCTTACATTGTATTAGGTTTTGAAATTATTGTGAATATTTAGTGGTAATTTAAGGTGGTTTGGTTATTGGACTAAAAATGTTAATTGCATTTCTTTGATTCTCTTTAACTAATTGTGTTGAAACAGTCTAATTGTGAGTAATTAATATGTAAGATGACTTGATATTGAATTTAGCTAACTCCCGAATTAATTAAAGTAATGATAGCCTTAATCATTATGCTAGAAGTTTGCTTTTCCATTTGCTATCATTTGTTAATTCTTTTTGTTTATTTCTTTCATATCCATTTTATAAACTAAAAATCCAAAAAAAAAATTACTCTTTTTGCATCCTCTTAAATTTTGCCAATTAGTTAGTTAAAAAGAAAATCAATCACTTTTCAAGTCAATTTTCTCTCTTTTGCATACTTAGTTACTTAGGATCTTTTTAAAGGCTCTCTAAAATGAATACGACTCGGATTGTGCACTGTACTGCATTAATTCGGTTAATTTTTGAAGTGGACCTAATACTACTAACAGTTCGTTCTTCATTTATGTTACATGATATATGAGTTGGATAGACAGAAAATTTGATGTTGAAGTTATGCTTTATGGATGGTTATGAAGTTTGAGGCTAGCTTTGATAGAATTTAAAGTATATTTATACACTATCCAAAGAAAGTCAAAATAAATTGTTTAAAGACTAACTTTTGACTTAAAAAAAATTAAAGAAATCCCCTATGAGGAGTGGACAATATTGGCACCTAGAGATATATTCTCAGTGTCGTGCACCAGTAAAAGGGATTTGGTCAAGCTATTCTGAAATAAATATCATTATTTGTTTTAATGGATGAAAGACACGGGTATGGTTAGATTAAGAATATATTATGTGATGATGTAAGCATGAGGTAAGCGAGACGATGTAAGTATGTTGTCATGAGGGCACAAGTCATCACAAGACAAAAAGGCAAAATGAGAGGTTGGATGGTTTAGTGAATCACTTTCTGATGACCTATCTAAGACAATAGTCAAACTATTTTGTTTTTAACAAGACTTATTGAGAAAAAATAGAACTAAGTATCTTAGATAATGATTTGATTCGGAATGCAGCTTGAAAATATGAGGCTGATGATTATGAATAAAAGTGATGGCTCAAACATTAGAAACCCTAATTACATGATGACTCAATAGAAGTCTTTTAGCTAGAGTTGAAATGAGGAGACTACCGATGAAGTGGATACCTGACCTAGTTATTATACATAGGGGTGTGCATGAAGCCCAAATGCCCGCTAAGCCCGCCCAAGCCCGAAGAAAAATTGCCCTGCCCAGCCCAAAAAAAAGAAGCCCGAAAAAGAATGGGCATCTTTAGGCTGGGCATTTCATAGGCAGGGCTAGGCATCAGGCAGGACATGCTGCCCTGCCCATTTGGCCCTGCCCAGATTATATTTATATATATTATAATTTATAAAATCATATTAATATATTACATTTCTTTACCCAAAAAAAAGTTATTCCGTCCTCTTTGCAATTTAATTTATTATTGTTACATGTCTGTTAGTTTTCCATCTTAGGGGTCTAATTTTTCTAAAAAAGCAATAGTATCTTGCTTTTAACTTGTTCTTCATGAGCTTTATTGAGTACATCCTATGAAATGTAATTTTCAGTTATGGACGAAAGTTTTTTTACATGTGATATCGGCAGGTCATCACTATTTGGACAACGAAGCCCGTCCTGCCTAGCCCGCCCATGCCCAGCCCAAAATGGTTAGGGCTTCTATGGGCAGGGCCGGGCAGCGGGCTGCAGAATGCAGCCCGTTCATATTTCGGGCCGGGCATTGGGCAGGGGTCCTGCCCTGCCCAGCCCTGCCCATGTGCACCCCTAATTATACAATAGAGACATTCGAAGGATTATGCCCTTTGGATAATGTGATGACCAATGCACGATCATGTAAGTGACTAATCACGAAATAAGAGAGGATAGAGGAAATAAAAGGCAAGCAATATTCTTGAGGATAAGAAAGATGAGAAACATATAAGAATGTTATAGATAATGATTGCACTGGCAATCAAAATAGAGAAATGAAGATGTTCTAATGATGCTTCAATGTTTAATAGTGTTTAGAAACAAATGAAATCCTTCGACTTTAAGACATTTATGAGGAATATGATTGTAGCTTCAAGTTAATAGGAAACCTGGGATTCAAATTCCTACAGATGATTGCCACTGCCTATGTAATCAAATGAGTCTAGTGAAAATACTCTTTGTAACAGAGATACGGCATGTGAAGCAAGTACCCTAATAGAAATTGGAACAGCATAGCAAGGTAATCCAATTGTTCTTCTTATACTGCATGGACGAACAGAACTTACATGTTCTATAACAATTAAAAGTTACATATACCCTGAAAAATCATTTAAGCCGTCCTTCACATAGCTACAATCTATTTATTTCTCATTGCCCAATCACGGACATGATTTGGCCTGCCTCCTATACGTAAGATCCATTGAATTCTATCCCAGCTTCTTTAAGGTCATTTTTTCCCTGCTCAGTCACGGACATGATTTGGCCTGCCTCCTATATGTAAGATCCATTGAATTCTATCGCAGCTTCTTTAAGGTCATTTTTTCCCTGCTCAGGTCGAAGAAGATGGAGTTCTTGATCCTGAGACTACTATATTTCCGTCACCTGTGCATTATGCAGGTCCAACTGAAGTACAGTGGCATGCCAAGGCACGGATAAATGCAGGTGCCAACTTCTATATTGTAGGTCGTGATCCTGCTGGAATGGGTCATCCAACTGAGAAAAGGGATTTATATGACCCAGATCATGGGAAAAAGGTGCTCAGCATGGCTCCTGGCCTTGAGAAGCTTAATATCCTGCCATTCAAAGTGAGTAATGGCTCACGGCTTTATGTTATTGCTCCTCTCTATCAAATATCTCTTCACAGCACCGTCTTTGAAATGTTAATTTCCTCCTTATTCAGCCTTGTATGCTTGTTGTAGCTGGTAATTCCATCATACTTTTGGGATTAATATATGTCGGGAACTATTTATCTGTGGTTCTTCTGATGGCAGTGTAATTATCTGTACTAGCTGGCCTTTTAATTTTCAAGTCTAAATGGGTAATGGGTCAGTCATCACGATCATCTGTCTTGTTCTGGAATATGCATTCAGGGAGACATCTTTTGGTTTTCTTAAATTCTTAGTTCCAGTCTTCATTCAGCAGACCAAGAAATCCTAATCTTCGGGCCAAGTTTTGTTCAAATTGATACATTTTCAGGTGGACAACATACCGAAGCATACCTTGTATCCTCTTCTTTGAGTGGTTAAATGCTGTGAGTCGCCCATGATTTTACATACCCCAACAAGTTAAATTATACATCTTTGCATATATGATTACCTTGAACATTACATACATCTAATCTCACTGGTTTCATGTCTTCCCAACAGCTTTAATAGTTGTGAATTTTGTATTTCAATACATGACATGCTTATCTGTACGGAGATCATCACTGATTCACACACATTTATGTGGCTTCCCAAACTCTCCATCCAACATGTGTCTGTCTACATGTAATCTCTACCAGGCACGATGACCTTGCATAACCACATACATATAGTAGTAATATTCATGCCCATTTGTGTGGTCAAGTTGAGAATAACTTGGATGATGAGTCAAATGATGACTTGGATTTGATGGAGTTGTGGACACCTAATGTTCCTCCATGTATTTCATCTCAGTTGAAGTGAAGCAGTTCGCTCTCTTTGGTTTCAGAGGCTTCAAACCTGAATTTGAAATTGTAAGATACGTAATGGAGAAGGCAACAGTTTTGAGGACTGTCATTATTGGGAGTGTTGGCACAAGTAAAAGTAAAGAGAAAGACTTTCATCGTCATACCCCCGATGCTCTGCACACTGTAGACGTATTTATGATGCTTTTGGGGAAAATATTGAGGACGTGATGAGAAACTTTTGCACAATTGGGTAGTTAACAGGTGCTTCATTTTGAGCATAACATGCATCTATTAAGTTCAATTTCTGGTGTGATTAGTATTATAATTATGAAAAAAGCATGCTCTTTTTCAATGTTGTGAGGGTTTCAGATGATGGCAAATCACTTGGAAAATAAATAATTTTCAGTGAAAGCATTTAGATATATTGACGTGCTCAAGCATCGCAACCCATGATTTCCTGTGGCAGCGGAGGGCATATAGAATTGCTGTTCCAGAGTGAGAGATTAAACAAAACCTTCACTTCAATCTTCTTTCCCAAAAGAAAGAGAAGGCGCACAAATTAAATAATTAGCGAACTTGATATGGAACCAATCAATTTTTTTAAAGATAAATTTTAAATAAAAGAGAGCAACATTATTAGCATTAGGAGAACTGGCGGGCTCAATTATGCCCAAATTCTTAAAAAACACCCTTATAATGAAGTGGTCCTTAAACCCGTGGGTTCAAGTAGGACTTTTTAGCCAAAACTCATTATTTTTCAGATATTTATACGAAAATGTACATAAAATAATAAAATTCATCATGAAAAATATAAAATTGTCAAAATTAAGTTACAAAAAAACATCATCGGCAAATATAAAATTGTCAAAATTAAGTTACAAACAAACATCGTCGGTAAGTTAGGGATGGAACCTAACCCATGATTTTAAAAGTAATTTTACGGTATATAAAATAAATATGTAGAGAAGTTTACCTCAATTTAAAAAAGTGTTTTTTTAAAAACACTTTTCTTAAATGCCAAACAACTTTTTAGCCACTTTTTCCTCTTTCATATTTAGAGGAAGGTATAATGCTGTGAGCCTGTAAACAAGTAGAAAAGGAAAATATATCATAAAATATGTTATTTTTGTAATGATTTTTTTTGGGAAAAAGATGAAATTTAAATGCTATTATAGGCACATGATGCTAGATTTAAAAATTTCATATTTATACGGGCATGTACTTATTTGATAAAGGAATATGACTAATACAAATTTTATTTTTGGCCTAACTAAAATTTCATTAAATTATTACTAATCACAATTACAAATCAAATTATTAGCACTTAAAATATGCTTATAAATATTTATAAACGTGATTTCAAAACCTCATTCTTTATTTTTACCTACTGCTCATATTTATTCTTACTTTTGAACGTTGGGATACACAGAATCAACATTAATACACAGATCCTAACAAGAAAGAGGCAAAACAGCAGAAGTCAAATAAGCAGCCCTACCTCCCATCAATAAGCTGCCTCCGTCACTTTTTTTTTTTTTTTTCGATGACAAAAGACGAAGCTCTAAACATCTTCTCTTATAAATTTCAACTCCGGATCTAGTCCTAAAACGCTATTAGAGTTGAATCAAAATTTATAATTTAAAATGGTTCTCTCCCATATAATCCCTTCTATGATTTGAACTTTATTGTTATATATAGTTGATAGAGTATCAATAGGATAATTTAAAAAAATGATAAGAACAAAAAAAAGTCTTACATTTAGGATTAAGATCAACTCAATAATTACATCCTACATTAAGCACCTAAGAAGTATAATAATAGTTAATTTATAAATATTAAATATTTACCATTAGATTTTTATTCAATGATAGCGAAGACAAAAGGAGGGCATAATAAGGATGATGGAGGGAATTTTAAGACTTGTTTGGCATAGTGTTTAAAATTATTTATAAGCATGTTTTATATAAATTAAGACAAAACTTTTCTCACATATTTACCTCATATTCTATAAATCATGATTTCAAAGTTATTTATAAATCATTCTAAATGGGTCTTAATCTGTTAATTACTTCAATTCAATCCTCTCATCTTTTTTTTTTCCTAAATGAAAAACTAGAATGGTCGATATTCAATATTTAATAAGATCAATTTTTATTTTTAGGTATTTTTCAGTCTTGAATTGTCCAAAGTAAATTTCTATAAAATTCATTTATACATATATATTTAATTTTTATATAATGCTATTAGAGTATAGACTCCTAACCCTACCTGGCTTACTATGCTATCTCTCAAGTTACTCTCAATCATTCCTTACTTCTCCTCTATATCCATTTCCCCTAAAAAAATCATTTCAATCTCTTAACCTTGATTGGACCAATCCTAATAACCCATTACTTCCTAGGAAAGGTTTTCTCTCATACCGGACTTTGCTTGTATCAGTGTTCCATTTAAACCTTTACCACAATCTTTACAAGAGCCTCTGTTCTGTTTAAACAATTACTAGAAACCTGGCTTTAATACCAAAATATAATATTCTTCATTTAACCCCTCAGAATATACATTTGGAAGCGTTATGATTCAAACTATTCATGAAACAAGCCTCTACATGAAAAATAAAATATAAAATTTTAAATAACTTAAAAATAAAAGTATATAAAAAATAAAGTATAAGTGTGATATATATAACATCTTAAAATATTTATTTATAATAATAAAACTCGGAGGCAGAGCACAAATTGTAGATATATAATACATAAATAAATATTGTTTATATTTATTTTACTTATTTCAAATAAAAAGAATACAAATTAAAAATAAAAATATTTTCAAGAAACGAAAATTAGATATTTAACCTATATGTGATATCTTATTTTATATAGTTTAGAGTTATACATAAAAATAAAAATAAAAAATACTATATATGGATTATCATTGGTGACTATTAACGCTGATGGTTAGGAAAACGAGTATTCTCCCAGTGGTAGTACGATTTTCAACTGCTCTTTTACCCTCCCAAAATATCCTTATGATCTTTCTCTTCCGGAAGGGTCAGCGTTCACCTTTAATCTTCATATTCATTAAATTTCTTTTTTTGTGCTTGGTGAAGTTCTTCATACCAGAAAGCTTCTGGATCTATCTATTTATTCAGTGCATTTTTCAACTCCAAGTGACAGGTTTCCCATCTTCTTCTTCGTGAATCATCATTCTCTTTCTTCCTCTGCCTTTGGAGCTCACAATAAAGTGTAACGAATTCGTCCAGTTTTTGAAAACTCGTCCGGTTCTCGAGTCAAATCTAGTTGCCGGCTCAACAGGTGCTTCCAAGTGACTCGATACGGTTTGATCTATGATGAGCAAGTCATAAAAGCTGAACATGAAAGTATAGTTGATGAGGACAATAATTATCAAGCGGATGAGACAACTCGTCAAATTTAATTTAACATTTGCCCCACAAATAAACCACGTTTGCGACTCAGTCAGATATCAAATTGTACAAAACTTATGAACCAATTAGTTACGTAATCTTATCTTGTTTCAAAAATTTTAAATTTGTATTTATCCATTAAATATATTTAAATATAACTAAAACGTATTTTCAAATTTTTCCCGATAATTTGGCCAAAAATATTTTCCCAATGAGAACTATCTTTGTTTTTATAATTTTATTTTTAATTATTTTCTTTCTTTGGCAACAAATGTTAATTATTCTCTAACAATTATTGTATATAAATATATAATATAAATTTGTGTTAGGAATATAATGATATCTTTGTGGATGTCCATATATCTCCCTTTATTTCCTATATCTCCTATAATCTCTAATATCTCCCACTATCTCTATATCCCACAATTATCTCATATTATCATGTAATCTATAGATTCTATCAAAGATGTAAAGCTGTGCCTATAAATAGAGGTTATGTATAATGTATTGTGTACTCTTGAATGGAATGAGAAAGACTCTCTCTTATCAATCCTCTCTTCCTTTGTATGATTCTTCTCTATTTCTTCTTTATTCATAACACGTTATCAGCACGAAGCTCTAACCAAAGTGCGTATGATATACCTTTTTATTCCAGCATAATTTTAGAGCTTCATCTATATTATTTTTCTGGAGTATCTCTTGCTTTGTTCAAATAAAAATATCTCAAGCATCACATATATGGTGTTTCAGAGTATCCGTATTCCTATTCAATTTATCTAGGATAATCTAAGCCATTATATAGAATTAAAAAAAATATCTACCGTTGTTTTAAACATCGGGTTCCATGG